ATATTATTATTATGAGAATTTCCTCAGTATCTTTCATTGGAGTTGGGAATTTGACTTTTATTTTAATTAAGCATTTTAATATTTTGTGTAGAAGAAAAATGAGTTGTATCTACTTGTTTTTCATCAGAAGATATCCCTAATATGTATTTTAGTATTTTACATAACTACGTATTTAAAAGGCGAGAATAGAACCAAACCCAAGCTTAACAACAAGTGTAAGTAATCTTTCGGATATAAACAGCATTAGAAATACTTGACTACTTTCTAGTCCGTGGTACAGACTCCTTATTTGTTAAATATTAACATCCACCCTAAACTTCGTGAATAACTTCATTGGGGCGTTTTCTATAAAAATCGGCAAAATTTGTCTGTTTAATTAGGTACTAAAAACTCATGAATACCTATTTTCTTTCGACTTGAATCGTAAAATAATATTACAGAATGGAAAAAAAAAATTGGCATATAAAAATATTGGACCGTCTTCCCTCGTTATTTTAACATTTTGGGAGTAGAGGTTACGCCAAACGGTCCAATATTTTTTTAGACATTTTTTTTTTTCGACTTAATGATATTATCTTAAGATTCAAGTTGAATGCTAATGGATATTAATGAGTTTTTAGTGCCTAATTAAATAGACAAAGTTTGCCAATCTCCATATTGAAAACGCCCCAATTCCGAGAAATTTCGTAAATAAAGTATTTGGACGTTACGATGAGATGAAGCTATTCACGAAGTTTCAGATGGATGTTAATAATTTGATAAAAAGGGGTCTGTACCATGGACTATTCGGCATACCTCGGAAATCATGAAAAAAAAAACCTTGTCTTTTTTTTTTTTTGCAAATTGCTTTCTGTGTATTATAGCCAAAAATGTGTTGTTAGGTCACTCCTGGAATTTTTATATAGTAATCAATACTCGATTATTACGTAATTTATTATATTAAGAAAAGTTTTGTAAAAATGTTTAAAATTGGTATGTTTTAATACATCACCATTTTATTTGTCGGCTCACATATTATCATATGTGTTCTAATGGCTTAATGATTTACATACTAAAAAAATATACAGACAGTACGACTCTTATAGTTAACGATAATTTTTTTCATATACATATATTCTTCCCAAGATTCCCGCCCAATATCTATCATTTCAAACCTATCGAAAAAACCTCTTGAAAGACTAGTGCAATCCCAAGTTTCCAATTCCCTCGAAGAGTCCAATCAACTGGATCCTCTTCAATCTGGTATTCGTCCTGGTTACTACATACAATATAGAAGTAAATATATATATATATATATATATATATATATATATATATATATATATATAGAGAGAGAGAGAGAGAGTTCCGATGCGAGCCTGCCCAAAATATTGGGTTGGCAAATAAGTCCTTTCGGTTTTTCAGATTGAAGCGATCTTGAAACCAGCATAATTATTTTACCAAAAAATATAATGAAAAGTAAATACTTAAATATTTATAAATAAACTTATGCTCGAATTTAAGAGAAACATGTAGTATCCACTTGTTATGAGAATCGATCATCTATTACTGACAAACAATACTTGCCCTCACCCCTTCGCCATTTCTGAACAGAAACAGCTCTAGGATCTTGACGGGCGATTAGCTTCCTGATCCGCAGAACACAGGGGGCCGTAATCGAAGGAAAATATATGTTGTAAAGTGTAGTTTATTAGCTGTTAGAGAAGGAGGTTGCCGGGCACGCCACGGGTCTTTGTAATTATGTTCCTTCGGGGAAGGAATTTGTTTGGATTTAGCGTGAGCTTTGACCCATTTCACTTCACCAATAGAAAATGTGGGCAGCTAATCTTACTATAATACTATCCATAAATAGGCTTTCCGGCAACATATTTAGTTATATAAATGGAAACAGAGGTTATAAAGAATATATATTTCCATTACTTTGAACAGAGCCCATTGACATTTTTTAATGTATATATACTAATTAGAAAAAAAAAAAATATAATAAATAAATTAATGGAATAGTCTGAAAAGGAGTTAGCCGGGGTGCGGTCAAATAAATAATAAATTAAAATATATTAATTATTTTAATTTTTGCCAATTAATATAATAATTATATTAATTAATTTTTGAGGCAAAACTTAAAATAATTAATATATTTTAATTTATAATTTATTTGACCGCACCCCCGACTAACTCCTTTTCATATTATATCAACGGTCAACCATCTCTACATCATAATGGAATAGTCATTGATATGTGGTAAATTTTAGTTTTTAGAATATATTAATTAATGATTGTTGTCCAAAGCTATAATACAGTACATAAGCGAGTCGAAATTTTGTGACATTAGAAAAAACTCTTAATGAAGGATTTTTTTTTTGTCTATAAAAATATATTTTTTATTGTTGACAATCAGCAAATGTGATGGCAAAACATGAAATAATGACATGACAGGCATGGGGAAGGAAAGTACTCAGCAGTACCTCTTCCCTAACTTGCTCCAATTACTTAGGTTGTTTAAGGAAGGAGATCTCTCATCCAACGCCTTTTTAGTCTCCTCCTCATGTTCTGAGGCTATGTCAGCTGTGGCCATGTCTCTTATAAGTCTGTTATTATGTCCATTTAAATTTGTGTAAAATCGTTGATAAAGGGTCGTTATATGTTGGTCAACTGTTGAAAGGTGGAGGTCAGTATGTAGAGTTTTGTTAGTCACGTACCAAGGAGCTTTTGTTATGAGTCGCAATAATTTTGATTGGAACGTTTGAAGTTTTTGTAGGTGGGTCTTTTTAGCGATACCGTATATTTGTGATGAGTACCAAATTAAATAAATTTAATTAAGCCAAATTAAATTGCACACCACCGAAATCATAAAAATAGTTGTTTGCCGAATTTGGGAAAAGCGCCGCACGCTTGATTTTTGCAAATAGGAAAAAACTATTTAAACGAAAATAACTATCTTAAACTACTTTGTAGTTGATCCTACCAACTTCACTTCGAGCTCTGATAGAGCTATTTACGTTCAATAGTTCCAGAGAAACGTTATTAAAAAAAATAAAACATATCATTTTGGGATTTCATTTTAACATGTATATTATGGAAGCTGTTAAAACAAAGATAATTAATAATTGTGGGTTTATTGTTGACTGTAGTGAATAATTGAAGAGAAGGGTAGTTGGGGAATTCAGTCTCATTGAAATGATAAAAAAAATAAATAATTTTATTTATTTTTACATTCGCCGACGTTTCGGACCGAAGTTCAGCCCTTCGTCAGGGCTGCTCTACAAGAAGTAAAGTCTGACGTGGTAAGTCCAATTGGACATTAAAGAAGAAGTGAATACCACATGTAATCGATCAATAAATATTTCACATATCGATGACACATGTTTTATCTTTGAAAATATTTAAACGGGAAAAATATCTTGGTTTTGAATTTAAGATCTCTATAACGCTCTAACAAATTTTCCATAGTTAAATTAAATAAGTATTAAATTTACTCAATTCTGTGTTCATTAAAATTATAATTACTGAGTGTTATAGTAAAACAGATAATTGGATTATAACTAATGTTAGATAATTATTTAGTTAATGAAATATTTTATTTTATTTTATCGTTTTTGTTATATAAAATTATTTCCTCAATAATTATTTAGTTAATGAAATAATTTTTTTTTATCGTTTTTGTTACATAAAATTAGGAAACAGGAATAAAATATATGATTTTTTAAAATAAAAACATAATTTACTGGGTAATTTGACTGTGAGTTAAATGTTAATATTAAAATTATATGGTTTTAACTATTTTTAATTAATACATAACAGAAATAATTTAATAATAAGTTAAAAAAAAAATTAAATTATTAAATTGACAATGAACATTCTTATGAGGAGTCCAAATAATTTTATTTTTATTTATAACGTAAACTATGTAACTAGATAATGACTTTAAAAATAATTAATATGTAACTATAAAAGCCTGTGCTGTTTTGTTTTTTAAAACGTTTCTTTTCTTAATAAATGTTAAAATATTTAGTTACATAATTATTTAGTTAATGAAACATTTTATTTTATTTTATCGTTTTTGTAAAATTAGGAAACATAAATAAAATGTATGATTTTTTAAATAAAATTTACTGTAAGTTATATTTTAATATTTATAGTAAGGGGTTTTATCTAGTTTTAATAGTACATACACACTTGTGTTAAAGAATATACTTTTTTAAATGTATTAGGTATTAATTTTTGCATAAATAAAACCTATATCATACATAATAATACATAATAGAAATAATTAAATAGCATGGTTAAAACAATAAAAAATTTAAATAATTAAAATTACAATAGAAAATCTGTTCAATGAACCTAATTTTATGAGAAGCGTAAATAATTTTATATTTATGTATAACGAAAGGTTTGTAAATAGACAATAGATTATAAAAATAATTAATATATAACTACAGCAAGCCTGTGTAGTTTGTTTTTTAAAAGGTACTAAAAAGATCACTAAATTTCGACCTGGCTTTTGGACTATAAAGCTGTTAAGGGAAAGAACCTATTTTATAAATATATTATTATTTTTTTTTGTAGCGTTCCATGATTTTCACCGATTAGGGCTCCGCTTATCTAGTTTCTCCCCTCACCTTGTGCGATCTCAGGTTTGAAAAGAAGCCCTTAAAGAGTAACTCTATTATAACAAAAGAGGTCCTATTTAAATAAGCTAGTAACTTACGTATCTTATCTGAAACTAAACTTGCTATCTGAAACAAGTAACTTATTTCATCAAAATTTACCGAAACTTTGAAATAATAGATTGGGTATAAAATGATAATGGAATTTTACAGCTTTCATAACTTTATTAAAGCAATGAACTACCAATACAGAAAGGGTAAGTTGGAGTCTCCTAAAATTAGAAGACATACATAATTCGTCGATATGATCGAAACGAATGCACTTTAAGCATTACCATATTTATCAGGAGAGATTTTAGCGATAGACAAATGAAAATATAAACAAGACTATTAATGCCTGGAATCGCTGGGGCACAGTTGCCTGAACCCAAAGCCAGCTGGCGCAACCCACCGCCGCAATGTTTGGCGTCACCAACACCGGTCTGTTTGCGCAGCGCTCCGGTTGTTGAAAGCGGACCTCTGACCAATGTTTGCTTTTAGGCTTGCGTAAGAGTCTCTCGATATCTGCTGTTATGTTTGGAATAAATCTATGAGAAGTCGATTAATAATAATTTTATGATCCCTTAATATTTGTGTTATTTTTTTTACTTTACTTTTCGAACCGCACCTTGATAATTCTTAAACATATAATTTACTCTTCATAACGCATTAATGAACTGAACCAAAGATTATTCATGAGAATTACATATAAGACAATGTGGAACATGGATATAATGGATATAATATGGATGGAGATAATGTGTTTCCAATGAGTGTTTTCTAAGTTAGAGATTTTCAGACTTGTGAGCTTAAAGTCTACACAGACTCCTCCAAGTCGCAATGATCACGATCTTTGCATGTATCAAAGCATTGTATCATCACACAAACAGACGGGTGTCCAGAAGGCATTTGCATGGGGCGAGTTGCGGCATCAAAACTATTGAGAAGGGCTCATTTTTTTACGTGGTTTTTGAATTTTTGAGGGAGATACATTTTGGCGGACTTAGCATTTTTGGAAGGGACCTTGTAGTTCTGTGCTTCCAATTATGTAAGGAACTTGTCCGGCAACCCGATAAACTGAAAACCACGAGTTCCGCTTTCGGCATTTAACTCTGACATTAATCCCCTAGCCTCTCCCCTAGGTAGTAAAAAGAAATCTTAAAGCTGAAAAGGAGAGGTAGAAGAGAAAAAATAGGTCCTTAAAATAAAACATAGATTATTATTTTGTATGCCTCTTTATGTTACATGTTTTAGATGTTAACTCAAAATACCAATGCTAGATCAGAGTTATTTTGCTGAAGAGCTTTGGAGATTTCTGGTATGGGTAATAGATTGGAGTACCTATTTTTTGCCAAAAACAGAAAAAAATGTAATGAATTTTAATTAAAGAGAAGTTGTTTGGGTGGGAATTAGAGTTAAATGAATCTAAGGGCGATTTTAAACCCATCTTTAACTCGCTTTTTATAAAGGCTTAGTTCAAAATCGCAGTTCATGCAGGCAAGATTTAGGAATGATGATAAGTACCGACCAGGTGAGGTACTAGAGAATAAATAGGTCCTTAAAATATATTTAAGGTAATTTGTATGCCTTTTTATGTCACATGTTTTTGATATTAACTCAAAATACCAATACTAGGTCAGAGTTACTGAAGAGCTTTGGAGATTTCTGGCATAGGCAATAGATTTGAGTACCTATTTTTAGCCAAAGACAGAAAAAAATGCAATGAATTTTAATTAAAGAGAACTTGGTTTAGGTGGGAGTTAGAATGAACTGGGTCTAAGAGCGATTTTAAACTCATATTTAACTCGCTTTTTATAAAGGCTTAGTTCAAAATCGCAGTTCATGCAGGCAAGATTTAGGACTCGTGATAAGTACCGAAAAGAAAAGATATATGAAAACATCTCGACAGCCTAGATTGAGAGGAGGTTCTGGATAGAGTGAGGGACGGAAGTAGTAACGTAGGTTACTCTAGTACTCCCTTAGTACGGAGTAGAAACGTGATAATAATAATTTGGAAGAGTAAATAAAAGACAGGATGTTTACAAGAAACTTGATGTGTCTGCACCCTGCAAAAGCTGCTCCGATAGAAAAGTCTATTCAGGAAAGTAAAATTTGTAATAAAGAAACGGTGATAAGAGCGGTAGTTGTGTATGGCAGTGAAACGTAAAATCAACGTCGAACTAATGGAACTATTCTCAGTGTTATTAAGAAGAGCAAGCTCAGATGATTGGATCATGTTGAAATAATGGATCTTTGTAGACTGCCATAAATGATGCTGATTTGGTATACCAGGAAGAAAAAGAAAATGAGCTAGATCCAGGCATCGATGTCAAGATGATCTGAAAGACTTAAGGTGACCAGAAACTGGAGGAACCGAGTTGTGGACCTCGAGGAGCTAAGTGGTGTGGAAGATCCAAGCCCTGCAAAGACTGTAGTGCCCATTGAAGAAGAAGAAAGTTTCAAAATGGTAATATTTATACGTGTAATGTAGAATATAATTTTATTGTAAAATATAAACATCTGGCCCGAAATTTTAATTGGTAATAATATTAATTTAACTACAACCAACAGCCAAAGCGAAATTCATTACGATAAAATATTAAAATGAAGAGAGAGAGAGAGTGAAAAAAAAATGAATGTATAAATAATTTAAAAATAATTTTACTGATAAAACTGTGTCGCGTGCGTCACACACCAATGGTTCAACATCGAAGTTTTTTTCAGTTCCATTACAATTCTGAGAATAAATTAGACGAAACGAGCAGAGCCAGCACAGCATCCATTAGCCGCTGTTAGCAACACGTTATAACGTGTCCGGTTGGTTAGTGCGGCTAGGGCACGCTCTATTGATTCCTAGTTGTCGTGCCCCATCCCCTTCACAATTATATATTACAGCTTCCATATAATACTAAACTCCAGCTATTTATCACTACAACGCTTTAGTGTAATATATATCAGATGAATTTGTCATTTAGAAAAAAAAAAAAAAAAAATGAATTAACCAAAGATTCACGGAATCAGGATGAGATTAAAATTATTGAATTCTACAATTTTGTCAGGGTGAATTTGGAGGAAGGGGTCAAACTTCAGAAGTGAATTTGAAAATTCATTGGTCGATATTTGTTTTTGTGTGTGATCTAAGTCTTAAATACTTAAACAATCATGATATATCCTCTTTTTAAGTTATAATGAATATACAACTACTAAATGCAAGTATGTGTCAAGAAAAAAATATAAGAAATTTGTCTTCAAAGTTCCATTAATTACTTTTTTTTTTACCTTAATGACAACTTAAAAATCATTTTCTATTGTTAGCTTATTTTTCTTTCTAAGTGCCGCAGGAGCGCCCAGAAGGTGGTTTCATGGCGCGAATTGCGCCATCAAAATTTATGAGGGGACACTTTTCGATGGGGTTTTCAATTTTTGAGGGGGGCACATTTCGACGGGTTTATGAATTTTCAAAATGAAAAGTTTCAAATTAAAAGATAACTGGAAGCATGGAACAGACCGCAGTATGTGTTATTATATATCATCTATGAATATTTAAATTCTACTTTCGTTTGCACTGTTTTTAAGAAGAAGAAGGGAATAAAATATCTTGGAAGGAATATTCGAAGGTTAATACGCCATCAGCCTTGGGGCGGAGGGGAGGAGGGCACCCTATTCAAAATAAAAAAATAAAAAATACCCTCTCTCCCCCCAAAAAATATAAATCCACTACTACTCATTAACCAATATTAATCTGGTGAAATAAGCAATAAAATCTCATAGAGGAACATTTGACGTGATATACGATAGGAGGTTAATAGAGACGGTAGGTCTACAATCAATAGAGAGAATGTTTGTTGATAGATGGGGGAGGGGACTTTTTCTAAGTGTATGTTATGTGCGTGTGTCACACGACCGAGGTAGCTTAATAAGTTGACTTTTTTTTTTGTTTGTATTAGTTTTGACTAGTGGTTTCTGGTTTCGTTCTTTGCTCTCGAAGAAAAAAATCATACAGGGCGGAAGTTCAAATATAAACCATATACAATGAGAAAAAATCATCATAATCGTATTCTAATGAGTCTAAGATATTTGTAACCACTAACGGATTCAAGATTTAATTTTAAGGGAAGGAGGCTTCAACCCGAAAACTTTCATATATATATATATATATATATAACGATAATTACTTAGGAAGAAAAAGAAAGAAACTAACTACTTACATAAAAGAGTATTTAATATATTCTTGAAGTTCTATTAATTGTAATTATAATCACAGGAGGATTTACGGGGAAGGGGGAGGCTTTCGGGCTGAATCCCACCCCAAAACGGTAAAATATAACCACGTTTTATGGAAAAAATATTAAAAACTATCTCTTAAAGTATTATTGTTCGTGTAATTACATTTAATAGGACTTCAAAAATCACATTAAACACCATTTCATATAGGTAGTTCATTTCTTTCTCTTCCAGATTTCTTTATCTTTCTTTCTTTCTTTTTTTCCAGATTAATTATCTTTATATATATGAAAAAAAATCTTTCGGGCTGAAGCCCCCCAAAATTAAATCCTGGATCCGCTAGTGATTATAATATTGTATCAATGTGTAGTATTGTCTTCATAACACATGGTTATATTTTACCATTCTGTGGGCTTCAGCCCAAAAGCCCTCCACCCCGTAGATCCGCCTGTGTTTGCAACGATACGCATATGGTTGTAAATGGTTATTTAATCATTAAGACTAACAGAAGGAAGAAGACTGTTTCTCAGAATGTTAGCTAAATTTTTAATACCAGCCTGTTTTTATTTATTGTTAATAATTAATTACATAATGGGTTTCCATGGTACCATAGCCGAGAGATTCAAATGACCCAGTCAAAATAGTAGGATTTTATTAATAAAGTTTTATTGGTTGTTAAAAATTAGAATATAAAATATTACTAGGTATATCAGAATTTCGTCTGTTATTTTGTACAATAGCTTGGTCTACAGATGTATGGTTCTTGAATATAGTATATGTGTGAATATATTTTTTAAGGCTACTAGATAAAAGACTTATTACTGTTTAGAAAGTATTTACATGTCTAAGTTATATACATAATTATATACTATTATCGATGATTTAAGATATAATAATCAATGATCAGATTGACTTAAGATAAAATTTCTTTCTGTTTGCCGATCCATGATGGATCACTGAACGTTGACAGTTAGTACACCTCATCCCGTGTTTATAAACAGTCCGTCTCCGGTAGCCTAGTATGGGTACAGTTATATATAATACTATATACAAATATACTATATATATAACACTAATCCCGTTGGAACCGATGATAATATCGCTAAAATATTTATCATTTAAATATCCAGAAAATGTCGATTTATATTGAGTAGCTGGGATTGAAAAAAAGATACAGCAAGATTAAGCTATATTGTGAATTGAAATATATTTCAATAATTATAAATAAGTAGAGTCAGTCTAGTAAAGAAAAAATTAAATACTGCCAACACAGAATATTCCAGGACAGTACCTAAGTCCAGATAGATCTGGTTTAGATATCGCTTCCCGAAAAGCATCCACTTATTTCATAAGATGAAAAAGAACCAGACCAAACCTTAAAATTCTATAGCAGGAGAGGAGAAGTGGAACCCACCCAGAACAAACATTTGACCAATAGGATAGCCTAGAAAAGAAGTGGAAAAATATTTTTGAATGGAAGATGAAGTCGATTCAGGGAGTTCTTTCTCCAGCAATATAATTAACATTTATATAATTAGCCATGAGATATACACTTTTTTATTATACACCACAAAAAACATCGCTGACTGGATTCTCCCCTTCTTATACCAAACAAGACAGATATCTGATCAAATTAAGACCTAACTAATAATGCAGCAGTTAGTCTACTGAAGCAGATTTAGCGCATATCCCACAAGCAATATTTTACAATATTAAGTAACTTTCATTTATTACCTTAACTTTTAAAATCTGAATCATTTCACTATTCAAACACATTGCCATAGGCGTAGATAAGTCGTTCCGAGATTGCATATGGTATAGAGGTTAAAGAGGATTTTTTTTTCGTGACGAATCCAAGAAATACATCTCGACCTTATGGTACTTGTATGTCATAGAAAAATGTATAGGCCTACTTCCAGCAAAACGACAGTATTCAAAAATATCAGCAGACGAAACAGACCGTTAAGGCAGTCATTTTTTTTTTTGTTTTTCTAAGTGCTACTAACTACTGAGACCTTGCGGTAATATTAGAGCCGGGAGCCGTGAACTAGCTAAAAGGCTCACTTTGGGACAGATAAGGAACGGGCAGCCAGGAGAGGGGGGGAGGGGTTACGGTGCCGTGAGCGATCTGCTCTGCCTTATGAATAATGGATATCGGGCCACCGTATAAGGGTGAGGCCCTTTGTGTTCAACACTTAAAATATTAAAGTAAACTCTAGTATTAACTGCAATTTATCTATACTTTTTTAAATACTTGCATATATCACTATTAATACAGTAATTAATAGATTTATAGGTCACCATACAAATAAAAACCACATGACATATCATATCAGTTGAAATAAGCCTCATTCTGGAAGTTAGTTTAACGAATTTTAATTTTATTTTTCTGGATAATATTGAAGTGGTTAGTCCAAATTAGTGTTGCCCAAACGTGAGACCAAGACGAGTCTTGCACACTCAGTCTTGTTCTTGGTCTTGGTCTTGCGCAAGAGTCTCGCAAAAGTCTTGCAGTTACCTACTGGCTTATTTCTATAGAGAAATTACTGTAATTTTTTAGATTGGAGAAACCTAACTAAGCCCGAATGAAAAATTAGAAGAACTAAATGCAAAAGTAAGTTGGTTATAGCAATTCTTTACAATATAGTAACTAAAATTGTCAAGTATTAGTAACTATTTTTTCTTACTTTCATTTAAAAAATCGTTTTTTCTTTACCATTCTCTGTCTTGGTCTTGCAGCAGTAAGGCCCTCTTGGTCTTGGTCTTGCAAAGTGCAAGATCAAGACGGATTTTGGACAACACCAATCCAAATCGTCCTGCATAACATAAATACATAAGTCACTGTCATAAAACAAAAGCGTTTGAACGGAATTAGGATGGGAAGAAACTACCGAATGGGCTACCTCCTGATGAACTTTGGAAGCCATGGTTCATAGCAAAGTGCAGCTGGATTTATCTCGTATCCGTTCAAGGTTTGCTTTCCCACATCATAAAAATTATGATTGTATATTAAAACAGGATGTGGCCAAAGATTTTACTAAATTTTTCCACTGCAGATAATGTAGTTTCTCCATCCCTAACCAATATTGTAATAATTCTGTGCCTGAAAAACAAAAGTGCTAATGTCCAAAACTTTGAAATTTGAAAATTGAAAAAATCAGGCTAATATTTATTATTAGAAGAGCCAATTACTTCCAGTTCGATCTCAATATTGTTTCAATCGTTAATAATCGGAGGCCATTAACAATTACTATATCCTCAGTTTATTAGGAAAAAAATCATTAAGTAATGTTACATAATATTTAATCATTAAGATGAATTTCTCCTTCATGAAATAAGAAAATTGTGCACTTGGTCTAACTATATTTAACATATAGTTCCATTTTAATGATCTAATCTTTCATTAATAAATATGGTCAAAGTCAACAAAAACGCACTTTAAAATTTAGCTCCACCAAAAATGTTGTAAATGATTTTTTGCAACACTAAGAAGGTATATTGTCTATACTGATTTGTTTGTGGGATATCACTTTCGCGTATTGACACTTTTTGTTCGAAGGAATAGAAGCATCCGTTATACAGGTCTAATTACAACCATCGCCTTCCATTACAAACGATCACTTTTTAACATAAATGTAAGGATATCCATGGTATCTATCAACACGGTGTTGGGTCTCTATTGTTCACACCTTTTGCTAATCGCTGCACTGATTTTTTTGGTAGCTTACCTGTGCTATATTTAACTTTAGTCTTGTAGCTACAGACTTTGCTGATTTTCTTATCACTGTTCTTTATTTGCGACCATAGGCTAAATTTAGAACCTACATACACTTGTATTTAACCAAATTCAGCTTTTTTTTTTAGCGTAACCATTTAATTATTATAATGGCACAACAGTTCTGTAAGAAGCCTCCGAAGAAGAAGCCGAGCCTCCTCCACTATATAAAACCAGCCTGCAAGATCCTGTACCTCCTCCCATCTTCTAACACCCAGTCTCTTTAGATCTCCCTCCACATCCTCCATCCATCTGATCCGAAAGTTTCCTCTTCTTCTTTTGCCATCAGGCTTCTCATAGAGCACCTCTTTTGGCGTTCTTTGGTTAAACATTCCTCTCACGTGCCCTTTCTATCTTATTCGTACTTTTTTCCTTACCTTCCGTTCTGCAGATGGACCTTGCATTCGCCACAACTCTTTCCAATCATCTCAGCCAAGGTTCTCTTAATCTTCTCGCACCAAAGACCTTTTTATCAAGGATTCTCCCAAAAATTAGTTCTGTAGTCGTTCTAACTTTGCCATCAAAAGATTTGCATTAACATTTTTAGAAATAATGTAGCCAGACTAATTTTAAGCAGGGTGATTAATTTTTTTTTTTCGTGGTTTGAAAAATTATAATAAATATAATTCATCCATTCCCTCTCCACAAGATCTCGTCCTTCTGACCTTTACACTCCTTTCCATAGATCTGCTTCATTTCAACATTCCTTTATTGTCCGCTCCTCCACCTTTTGGAATTCCATCCCACTTAAAATCCGCCATGCACCATCCTTATCCACATTCAAAACCCTCTTATTCCTGTTCCTCTTCACAATCCAATGCTGGTTAATTACGTATTATATAACAAGGATAATTTTTTTTTCTTTTCTTTTCAAACACTATTATTTTATTTTATTTTTTGTTTATTGTTGTCACAATTGCTTTCTCATAAAATTAATTTAGTGCCCCTTCCTAATTGCATATATATCTATTTATTGTTATTTTATATCTCGTATGCCAGGATAATGCAATATCGTGATTCCGTTGCTCATCCTGTCATTAATATATCCTTAATCTATGTATATATTTCATTCATTCATTCATGTATGGCACAACATCCCGTCACCGAGACTGGGCCTCCTCCAAGAGCCTCCGCCAGTTGGCTCTGTCTTCTGCTGCAGCTCTCCAGTTCCGCACACCAAGCAGGGTTCTCGCATCATAGGAAACGTTGTCCAACCATCTCGTCCTCGGCCTTCCTACCCGTCTTACGAGGTGCAGCTCCTCCATCATTATTTTTTTTGGTATTTCAAGGGTGCTCATTCTGGCCACATGCCCTGCCCACCTTAGTCTGGCCAGTTTAATATACGTGACTACGTCGATGTCTGCATAGAGAGAACTGAGCTCCCTATTTTTTCTTTTCCTCCAGACATCACCCTCCTTTACTGGACCATAAATCCTTCTGAGGACTCCTCGCTCAAAGACACTCAGCTTCATCTCATCCCTTTTGGTCATCGTCCAAGCCTCTGAGCCATATGTCAAAACAGGCCGAACAAGGGTCTTGTATATGATCAGCTTGGTCTTCTTTGAGAGGTACCTACTTCTTAAGTGTCGGCCAAGTCCAAAGACACATCTATTGGCAGCCGTGATCCTACATGTATATATTTAGTAAGTTTTAGCTGTTTGGGTTTTAACATAACAAGTCAATACTTTTTATTTATGTGCTTTTGATATTTTTTCTTTTCTGTTAGTCTTGCTTTTTCTTTCTGTAGATGTAATACTTTTTGTTATTTTTTCCAGTACAATTATAAGTATAGTTGAGAAGACTTTATTTTATTTTTTAATTGTTTACATACTATTATTTAAGTTGTTGTATTGTATTGTTGTATGAATCTTTATTAGGTTAGTTTTTGACCAGATATTTATGTTTTCTTTTGTAACTGTTCATTAATGTTATTCTGAGGGAACATCGTCCGAAAATAAAGTTTATTTTCTATTTCTATTTCTATGTTTTTCGTTTTACTTCCGTCAGAGGAATACCAAAAACGGATTACATATTTCATCTCTGCTTGATTATCTTCGACTTTGATTTTATATAAGTGTATTGTTTTAATTTTTCTTTTTATTAAGTCAAGATATCGGTGAAGAGGTTAGTAAAAAGAAAAAAAAAATATATCCGTTGGAGAACTTATTTTTAATTAACATGGAATTCCAATAAAATCTATATCGGACTGATAAAAACGGAGATAAGAGCGCTGTAAAGGACTATAGTCAAGGCTAGTTGGTACTCGAGCACAGTACTTGGCCCCGAAGAACATTAATCTTTGGGGATTAAACCGTCAACTTTATCGAAAACTGCTGACATCGGTAAACAGCCTTTTATTTATTTTTTTAAAATGTGCCTAAAAATGTTATTCACGTTGGAATATTTTCTTTTAATGTATATATAAAATAATTAGTGTCCGCACAATGACCATAATCATTATTAAACATATGAGGAAAACATAAATGAATTTGCACGTTTTCAACATTTTTTCTACCCTTATATATTCGTACATTCACTCCTATGTGTACTTACAAAACAAAACAGTATAGTAAGTACCATGTGTGTAATTTTGAGTTATAGGCAAATAAATATGTGATTCCACTTTTTCATCCGCCATATTGAAACGAAAATCCGAATAGTGATGGAATATTTATAAAAACACTCCTGATTTTTATTGCAACCTTGTATCAAAATTTCAAAGCAATCGGTGAAGAAGTTTTGGAGGTTAGCTGTTTGGAACTAACTAACATTTATATTTTTATTTATATAAGCTATTTCCAATTTGTATTTATTGGCAACACTAACGCTTACCATTAGCTACCAACAAAAAAATAAATAAAAAAAACAACAAGAAAATTGGTTGAGAAATAGAGGAGAAAAAGGGACTGAACTTTTTAGCCTTTGCCTATTTATATAATGATTTAACTTATATTGAAAAAAAAACATAAATAATCCTACCCGTCATAAAGGAACGCAATTCGCACATATGATTCCTTCCTAGATTTTTTAGGAGAATTCGCATCTACGAATGTTCGAGCTTGCTGTATTATTCGGGAGCCTTCCACTATCGAACGAAAATCAAGACTCTTTCGGATGTTGCACCGATACATGCAACGATATCTACTTGTCAGAAATAGTAATGTGTAATAGGAGAGTAGAAGAAGAAGCAGAAAAAGTCTTTTTCTTAGTTAAAATTGCATAATATAAATTACAAGACAATACAAAATGATATCTTTAAATTTAAAACCGAAAATCAGACGTGCTACATGTTCTGTTGACCGTCAGAGGTGTCTGTGTTTCATAACAAAATTATATTTCAATATATTTATATACAAACTAATTATATTTATATACAAACAATTAATAGGAAAATAAGAACAATTATATTTACAATGTAAAATTTATATAAATATTTTAATTACAAAAAGAGTGGTACCAAAATTCTCCAGTTTATTAATTGTTAAATTCTTTGGTAAGCATTATTCTAGGAGAAAGCAGACTTGCAGTAATTTACCAATGCTATCCAATTATTTCCATTTATGAAATCTATTAATTGATCCCGAGATAAATTTCTAGATTTTAACCATTTAATTCTAAATTCAGAGAGTTAATGAATAGTAGAATGCAGCCAAATGCTACACCAAGTTTAAATATTTTTAGAAATAAATTTCTCTAAAAATCTACCAAGATGTGCTAATACATTCTCATTGAGATTACAGTGAATGAGACTAAGGCGCCAGGCTCGGATGTGTAACGCTCCTTCGGGTAAATTCGTCTCGAGTCGATTAATTCAAGTATTTTTGCATCTGGATTTAAATGTCTCAGGAACTGAAAATCGGATTTGTATACTGTAAGAGAGGGAAATGTTCAGCATTTCATCCTCTTTTTAAGTTATTACATATACAGATATTATAATTATATTTTGTGATTTATTGTTTTTAAAAAAAAAAAAAAAATAACCGTTATATGTACTAATGTAGACAGTAGTTATAAATAGGTATATAAAATTATGCGTTTTAAGAGGCCTCTATCATTTTCGAAGTTAATTTATAGTCAAATTTAAAAATTCACAATTTTAATAAAGAAACCGGGATTTTTTTTTTGTTTTTAGTTAAAATTTTCTAATTTATTATCATAATTTATTCCTCATATTCGTGTTTCTTGACCTTGAAAATATAAGTGTACTAACAATCAAGTTAATGCGACATCATTTACGAGTTCTAGGCTCATGTCCACGAAAGCTAAGTCCCACTGTGCGCTAGTGTTGCCCAAATGCGAGACCCAGACGAGTCTTGGTCTTGCAAACTCGGTCTTGATCACGGTCTTGGTCTAGCACAAGAGTCTCGCAGTTACTTATTAGCTTATTGCCATAGAGATATTAATGTAATTTTTTAGATACGAGAAACCTAACTAAATCCGAATGAAAAATTAGAGGAGTTAAATGCAAAAGTATATTGGTCATACCAATTATTATCATATAGTAACGAAGATTGTCAGGTATTAGTAACTATTTTGCCATAATTTTTATTTGAAAAATCGATTTTTTTTACCAGTCCTGGCCTAGGTCTTGCAAAGTGCAATACCTAGACCGATTTTGAGTAACACTACGGTGCGCCGAGTCAGAGAGGCGAAAAGGAAAAAAATAATGTCAAAAAACAAATAATAACGAGCTTTATTGAACATATGGTTTAAAATATCCCAGTAACTAAAAACCGGATCCTTTATACTGTAAGAGAGAGAAATGCTCATCGTTTCCTTCTATTTGTAATGAGCCATAAATTGTAAATGTTATTATTTTGCGATTACAGAAGAAGAAATAGTTTATAGACAACTATAATTATCTTAAATTCTAAAATTGATTACTTTGTGGTTATAGAACAAAGAAAAATTTATATCTCATTTCATTATTCTCGCCTTGTTAATGTTTTCACTTCTATCATGTAGTTAAAATGAAACCAACGCAGTTTTTTTTTTTAAGTATAGACAATTTATATGGAACTTACTGAAAATTGAGAAAACTTTAAATATCATGAATATTTATTTGAAATACTGATGGGATCTCGCTGGATAATGTGTGCAATCGAACATGAAAATAGGTTGGGCCGTTCACTAAAAAAATCGTTGTTTATCTCCTAACGGTCAACCCAAATACATAAGTAACCCTTCTTGCAGTAGTCCGGTAAAACGTTTATTTTCAGTACAAAAGTTATTTTATTTTATTTATTGTAAATACTTTTTGATTATTATTTATTGTTATTTTGATTCTGTTTATTTAATATTTTTTTTCATATAGTGTCAAGGTGATCCATAACTCACTGTAACTAGTGTCCAAGTGATAGAATGATGTAATATTCAATAAATAAATAGTTTAAAAAAAATGTCAAAACATAATATTTTACTAATAAATTCCGATTCTAGATTATTATTGCGAAGTATAATAATTCTAAATTTATTTGATACATGTTAGAACTAATATTGGAATAAAATATTATTATTATGATTAATATCACAGTATGACATTACCACTTTGAATTCTTTTAACAACTTTCAGCAAAGCCATGTCTTAAAATGTATGTTTATTTTTTTTAAATAACCGTACTTTTTTTTCCTCCCTACACTAAGAAAACTTGGTAATCTGTTAAAAAGAAAAAGCAATTTGAGTTTCATAATTTGGAAATATGAAAATAGATCGATACTAGATGAGATAACATGGTTGATAAGAAGCTAATATGGAAAAACTGGCTTGCACCAGGAAATTACCAAGAGTCAAGGATTTTCCCAGTAAGAGGAATAAAAATTATTTTTTCAGACATTTTATATCACTCACATGAGTAGATATTGTAGCGATTGAAAAATTTGTTTACTGATTAGATAGTTTTGAGATAATGTTAGAATGTAAGGTATAACAAAGAGAAAAATATGATGAGCTAAAATAATAATATTTAAAATATAGCTCTTAAAAAAATATATGTATTAAAGATGAAATAAGATTTTTAAAAGAGAAAGGAATAAAAAAATAAGGAGGATAAAAATGTATAGAGAATAAAATATAAGTTATGATAACATTTATTATGATAATAACAATGTTACAACTATTAATCTTGTTTGTAATAATTTAGCATGAATTTCAATGTTTAATATAATAAAAATGTATGAAATACCAAAATTGTTTCAGATAGGATTCTTAATTAATAAATAAATAAAAACATATTACTTTATAAGAAAGTATATTTTTTATATTCATTGATTTTCAAATTTTTGTTGTTAGATGATGTTTTACTGTATAAGAGAAAGAGAGTACGGTTATTATTTAACTATTTAATTTAATTTTCTATTATTAATTCAATGATAGGAAATCTATTTAACAGTAAAAATAAATATATTTTATTAAAATAAATTTATAATTTGTATAATTTAAAAATAACAAAACTCAACAAGGTAATGATATTTTTGATATGACACCCGTGACAAGATGTCTACGGCCAATACGAAGATTGGAGGATTCTTATCAGAGAGACCATTCTATCCTAACGTGATAAGCTCCAGCTTTGTACACATGGCTTATGTCGTTTCGGACAAGGAGTAATGGTTATTGATCATAGTATAAATTAAAAAATAAATTTTATATTTATAAAGTTTTCGAATTAAATGTATATTTTTATTATTTTGAGTTGTAATTTAAGTTATTAAGTAAAGTTCGGTTATGATTAGAAACAACCACTTATTATTACTATTACATTTCTCTAAGTATAAGAGAAGATAAAATAATTACTAGAGTAAGATCTGGCCATATTTGGAATAGAAGGAAAATTAGTCTTAAACTTAAGCTATAAATTAAAAAAATAAATAAAAACATTAATATTTAAAAATTAGAAAGAGTAAGTACATATTTAACGTTTACAGGCATAGTTATAAGCGATAAAATCTTAAATGGCCTTATATTCGAATTCCATTAAATAAAGCACTGTATCATTACAATGGTGCAATATAATAAATTAATAATAATTCACTTTATTTCTCTATAAAAAAATTATTTAAAAAATTACTAAGGTAACATATTTTTTATAATTAATTTTTATTTGTCAATCCTGAGCAATCATTTATAGCATTGAGGTTTCCTTCAAAATACAATAATAAAATATTCTTAGAAAATTTTATAGCATAGCAATAAACTTGTCATTTATTTATTAATATTTAAGAAGCATGACCGATATAAAATTGGAAGACTTGATTAAACATAAAATATTGAAGGTTTTAGATACATCATTATTTTACAGAATAATTTATAATTGTATAATGAATTAAAAAAAAAAATACTATCAGAACAGTTTCATTAGAACATATAAAATAATCACGATATTATTTTTTTTTAAATTTATTCGTAATTTGAATATTAAAAAAATATTCATCCGTATTTTTTTGGGTGTGGAGAAGGAGAACTATCGGTTTATGAAAGAAAATGTAATAAGTCTATTACATTCCTACCTAATGAATAATAATTTATTTACAGTTATTCATAAATACTAAACAGTCTAAAAAAGTAAGTATATTTTAAATGGTTATTTTTTTTTATAAATTATTATTTTTTTAATTGTTTCATTTCACCTATTCCCGCTCCCTTGGATCCGTCACTGAAGCACACACATACTAGACAAGCATGGAATAACGTCATCAAGCACAAAGGATGTTATATAAATAACATTGTTCCTAAAAAGTGTTCAACAAAAGATCATACATCATAAATTGGAAGGATTTCCTCATAATCCCTTGTAATCATTTTAGGAATGATATTAATCCAAAATAAATAGATTATATAACACCTGAAATATTATTTATTAGCCGTTCCGAGAATATTTTGAGAAGAACGTTTTTTAATTACTACAATTGGAAAAATGATAAGGTGTTATTGAAAAGTTCATATGCGTAACTATGATTTATCATTATGTAGTTTTATGGAAATGGACAATATTTGTGCGTTTGTATTAGGAAATACATACTTAATTATTATTTCTTGCTTAAGGATGTAAATTATCAACAGTTTTTCCACTAGAAAACGTACAAAAAAAAATTAATTATTTAAAATAAATTAATTTTAAAAAACCTAAAAAACTCTGTCATTTCTTAAGGACGGGATGTAGTTGCATATGTACTTTATTATTTTATTTTTTTATGAATTAGCAAACTATATATATTAATTACTCGTGATTATGAACTTACGTATGATAAAATATAAAAGAAAAAAAATAAACTGAACTGAGTTACTTGATTGTATTTTAAGCTCAACTTGTTTCAAGAAACTCACAAGATTACATTTGTTTAAAATTTTAGACATAAACTTAAAATGTGTTAAAGTATCCAAAAACTTAAAGTACCCACAAAAAACTGTAACATAGGAACCAAATAATAGTCAAGCTAAACATATTATTCTCCTCGCGGCTATTTCGAAAAAAATTGAAAAACTGAAATTAATCAATAAAAGTAATCAATTAATGTTTAAAGAATAATCGAAAAGAGTAAGTCAGAGTTTTAAATATGAAAAATCAACAAACCGTCGAAGAGGATTGGTGTTGCTCTATTTTTCTATGAACGAATCCGAGTCAAAATCTGGATTGGTATAATAAATTTATGCATAAATAACTGTAAGTTCATATCTATAGGAAGCACGAAAAATCTACAGGGGGAGGGAGGAAGGATTATATATATATGTATGAAAAAAGCCCCCCAAAAAAACCCTGGATACGCAACGGATAAAAAGAAACCGAAGCATTCTTAATTGTTCATTGAAACATTAGACATTGTTAAATATTCTAAAGCCAATATTAAATGAGATTATTTAATCTTTAATTAATTGGGTAGACTGCAACAGCTGGAAATTTCCACAATTCCAAGAGTTTAATTAGAAAGTAATGTTCTGCCAAAACAAAAAAAAGGATGTCACTATACTCCACGTCAACCACTGAACATATATATATCAAGAAATCCGCGACAAAACGAGACAAGTAAGTAAATTCTTACTCGATATAGTGACCTCTTCGCAGATACAAAGTTCCATCATTTGTGCGATATAAACTCATTTAAACACACGGGTCTGAAGGAAGAAATAAATGCCCTCAGATATTATTCTGTGCTGGATAAATAAAAAAAAAAAAATGAATGGAGGGTGTAAAGCATGGAAGTACTTTTATAAAAAGTTTGTAAAATAATCAAGAAGCTGAGTAGCTCAGTGAATTAGGCCCTGCGTTCCCTTCCTCCACAGTCCACGTTCTGAGATTCCGCTTTGAAAGATAACTACTTATTCTGTCAAGTCAAACTTAGGTCCTTGTAATCCGTTCCTGTTCAGAAACAGAAAAATAAAAATTTCCTTGAAACCTGTTTACGCAGACGGTACGGTAAGTATAACTTTACTTGTAAAAACAACATGTAATCTAGTGGTCATACAAGGTCGTGACTAAATTAACATCTGCACTGTCATTTTTATAGAAGCAGTTCTACTTAACAAAGTAAAGAGCCCAATACTCAACATGGGCTGTGGTCGCATAGGTTATTTTAAGGGAAACCGATGAAGAGAAATTTATTTTGAAATTATGGGATTTCTTGATTTTGTACCTAATACTCCCACTGAAGTCCTATACCGATTTCTTTTTTTTTTTTTGGGGGGAACCTTGGTACGATCGTCTTATTCTGGGTCCTCTCAACCATTAAGTCATGAGGATGAACCAGGTGATTGGAGTACAGTGCTGACCACACCGTCTCCCAAGACGCGTTTCGCTGCTGGAATCGGTCGGTCACATCGAGCAGTCCTGCTCCCAAGCGCCCTTGCGTGACTGATTTAATTTATTTATGTTTAGAATAATCGATACAAAAAAAAAAAAACACCTTCCTCATAACCAACAAAGTTGTGGTTAATTTTAAATTTGATTATATTTTCAAATACTGCATATAATTATATATATTTATATAACAGCAGATCTCTATCGTTTAAATGAGAATTGTTAATACAAATGATTAAATGATTTGAAAATAAAAAAATTGACTGAAGCATGATAAATATTAATTAAATAGTTACTGATTTTTAAATGATGAAAAAAAAAATATTATTTTAAAAAATATTCTAACTATATAAGATTTTATCGGATATACCTAATTAACCATTTCAATATTAAAATGTAACTTATTTTGTGTCTTTAGCTCTCCATTATGTATATGAAAGCATTGTGTATAATCTGTATTACATTTTTCTTAGTGTTGCCCAAATGCCCAGAGACGAGTCTTGGTCTTGGTCTTGCGCAAGACTCTCGTAACCGTCTTGCAGTTACCTATTAGCTAATTACTAGAGAGATATTACTGTATTTTTTTAGATAGGAGAAACCTAACTAAGTCTGAATGAAAATTTAGAAGAATTAAATGCAAAAGCACCAATTATTTACACATAGTAACTAAAATAGTCAAGTATTAGTAACTATTTTGCCTCAATATTTATTTAAAAAATCGATTTTTTTTCACCAATCTTGGTCTTGGTCTTGCAAGGTGCAAAACAGAAATACAGCAAACAATCTAGCGTAAACCTTTAATTCAATCGATGTTGACATGTGAAATTCTCTTTTGTTTTCGTTATAATCTTCATCCATCTACTTGCAAAATTTATATAAAATCAATCCATTTTCTGCCGTACTATAAATTAATATTAATTTCTGAAAGACGGAGTATTTAAAGTCCGTAATGACATTTTCAAAATAATAAAATTATATTTAAGGTTTGAAATAATGGCATTTGGCTTATATTTTTATTATAAAATTAATTATTAATTGCCGAATCGGAAAAAAGAAAAATAATCGTGTAAAATGTGGATAAGTTTATGTTTAAAAAGGATTATTCGCTGCACAAGTTTTGCAACGTATTTGAAATTACTATTTCAAAATAATTAATTAATATATATACTTAGGGAATAATGTTCAATAAAAATACTTAATTCGTCATAATTATGTTTAAAAAGCATATACCCAATAACTATTTGTGTTAATTGTATCTATTTAATATTGAATTAAGGATTTATTCATTATATTATAATGAATTTATTCTAAATTATTGAAGTTATCACCACAGATGGGCAAATGCTATTCTGAGTACCGAACACCGAGTATTTTACTCAAATTGTATCACTGTTGGGAATTCAATGACTACTTCAGTTAATAGTTTGACATCAACCGAAGTATTTATTAAATTCTTTGGTACTCCAAAAAGAGCAGTAGTATTTGGGTAGAGCATAGTATTTGGGTAAAATATTTGGTACTCAGTACTCAAAGTAGCATATGCCCATCTCTGGTTATCACTAAAACGTACATTTCCTTAATAGGCAGATTACAAAGCTTGCTTCTGTTAGAACCCGTGAAAGACATACATAGCTTCTTTAATAATTGAATTATATATTTATTTGTTTTTAAATGTATTTGCTTTCTTTGAAAGGGTTCTCTTTAGATGAATGCATGCCACTAGCGGATCCAGGATTTAATTTTGGGGGGGGCTTCAGCCCGAAACCTTTTTTTTTCATAAAAATAACGATAATTACTTTGGAAAAACAGAAAGAAACTAACTACCTATATGAAATGGTGTTTAAGTTATTCCTTAAGTACTTTTAAATGCAATTACACGAACAATAATACTTTAAGAGGCATTTTTAAATATTTTTTTCCATAAAACATGGTTATATTTTTCCATTTTGGGGGGGGCTTCAGCCCGAAAGCCCCTCCCCCCCCGTAGATCCGCCCGTGATGCATGCTATAATATACAATTAGGAGCATATATTCTTAATGATTTATAACTGAAGTTATTATTAAGATATTCACCCAAGATATAGATAGTATCAACATCAATTCAAACTCCATCAGCGAAATATCTAACACATTATTTCATTCAAGTAATTGAGAGATGATGAATCAAAATTTTTTATTTGGCAATGATAATATTTTTATTTATATTTTCCGGAATTAATTATGATAAGGAATTGTATTTCTTATAATAAAGATACAACAAGGGTTTACATTAATTGTTTTGCAATATAAATATTAAATATCTCGAATTAGCGTCCAATAGATCTAACGAGCTAAGATTTCAAATACTATTATATAATTTTATTAATTCATTATGATATTCATTCTACATCACGTTTTAATAAAAACTAATATATACACCATCGGGTTCAATAAAAAATGTCTGCTCTCTTGACCCTTGTTCGATTACTGCTCTTGATATTTTGTTTAAGGAAGAATTATAATCAACAGTAATGTCAAGACGATCTAAAACGATGTTTAAAAAAAAATTGCGATCAGATAGTTGGCAGAGATAGTCTTGAAAATTTCATTAAGACTTCGTAAATGGATTCATTTTGTCTTAACTTACAACTTTTAAGTTTACGAATATTTTGGGAAATGGGGCGTTTTCAATTTGGAGATGGGTAAACTTTAACTATTTAATGAGGTACTATAACCTCATGAACATCCATTAGCTTCCCACTTGAATCAGAAGATAAGTTGATCACTAACTCTAGAAAAGAGGTGGCACATAAAAATTTGGTCGTTTGCCGTAAATCTCAACATGTCAAAATAACGAGGTTATATAGGTCAAACAGACCAAGTACACAAAAATTTGTATGTCTTTTTTTTCTCAATTTTGAGATCAGATTATCTTATGATTCAAGGGGGAAGAAAATTGTTATTTATGAGTTTTTAATACCACAGTAAATTCATTAATTTTATGAGAAAACACATCATTTCTGAGAATTTTGGTAAATATAAAAGTTTTAGGTTACGGTGAGATAATAATTTGATAAAAAGAGTTATTTACTGTGGACTAGTAGTTTTGAAAATGGCGTTTTTTTCTTGAAACTGCAAACTTTCAAACTTTTCAAGCCTACCTTAGGAACTTTAAACTACTTTAAACTATATGATGAAGACGTGACTCACCGGCAGGCTTGGGGACGTTCCTCTTGACCTGCATCCACTTGTAGGTGGGTATGGAGGGGGCGGGCTGCGGCGGCTGGAGGCGGTGCTGCTCCTGGAAGATGTGCTCCTCCTTGACCGGCTGGAACTGCAGCTCCTGCTGCCCGTACTCCAGGCAGGGCTCGTACTCCTGCGGCCTCTCCGGGCAGCGGTACTGGTAGTCCAAGTTGGTGTACGAGAGGCCATTTATCACGTTCACGTCTTGGAAGTACTCTTGCTTCTGATCCTGGTATTCCTGGTACTGGTCTGCATGATACTGGTACCTGGGCGAGTATTCTTCTTCATAGTACGGCTGTTCCTCGTAGTAAGCCTCGCCGTACTGGTACATCCCGAGGTTCATGGTCATCATGGTCGACGCATCCCCGACTGACTCCGGGCTGAGGTGCCCCCACCCCGGTATGGGAGGGGCGGGTCACGTGAAGGCCTCGACCAATGAAACGAGCCGGCTCCTATTTAGACGTCAGAGGAGCTCTGATGGATCTGCCCTCTTTGTAAGAGCGCCATGTCCTCCCAATCAGTGCCCCTTGTGTCCGCCCATCTGCCCCTGCCTCACAAATAAGGGGCGACATTTTTTCTTTTCTCACCCGCTCTTCACAGATTATGTATGACACGGCTTATACAAACGTGACTGAGGTCGGGGATCGAGGTAGCTGTAGAAAAAAATGAAAGGAATAGTCATCGCTCAGCTGGTAGGCTCATCCCTGGGGCTCTAATCTTCTTAAATATTTGTGGAGTTGTTCACCTGATATGTACCTATACGGGGTCCTACAGATTTATTTACTGTATCGAATAGCTAGAATAATTGCCCTTTAACTAGAGAAAATATAAATACGTGTTGATGCTTTAATACTTTCATCAAAGTTAATTTTCGGGAAAAATGTGAATAGTAGTGTTGCCCGAATGCGAGATCGAGACAGGTCTTGGTCTTGCAAACTCAGTCTTGGTCATGGTCCTGGTCTTGCGCAAGAGTCTCGCAACACTTTTTCAGTTACTTATTAAGTTATTACTATAGAGATATTACTGTAATTCTTTAGATAGGAGAAATCTAACTAAGCACGAATGAAAAAATAGAGGTGTTAAATGCAAAAGTATATTGGTCATACATAATATATAAGAAATAAAATTGTCGAGTAATATTAACTATTTTGCCTTAATTTTTATTTTAAAAATCGATTTTTTATAACAGTTCTGGTCTTGGTATTGCAAAGTGCAAGATAAGACCAATTTTGGGCAACACTAGTGAATAGTTGTAATATTTTAGTCATATTTTTTATAAAGGAAGGAGATGGTCCGAGGTTGCGGTCATAAATAGGCTAAGTAGTGGTAAAACTATTTTATTGAAAGCTGACGGTTCGACCCGACTTTGCAGGTCTTCTTCAGGGCTAGAAAGGACAAGATACAAAAAGATAGAGAATTGTGGCAGTTACATAATGTTTAGTTACATAATTTATAAACAATGTGAATAAGCCTATTTAAATGAAGAAGACCTGCAAAGTCGGGTCGAAACGTCGGCTTTCAATAAAATAGTTTTACCACTATTTAGCCTATTTATGACCGCAACCCCGGACCAACTCCTTCTTTTGTAATGCAACGGTCAACTATTAAATATTCATATTTTTTATGTTTAGTGTCATATTATTAATTATTCTTTAACTAATAGTTTTTGACCAAGGGTCGCCAAAATATTTATCTTTTATGGCTACCGACGTTTGGCTTTATGAGTAATTTTCAAAATATGGGCAATCATACATCTTCAGATTCTTACCATTTTTTAACAAAAATATTCCTTGTTATCCATTGTCCGTATTCCACTAATTTCATGAGTAGCCATTACGGGTTGGAGGAATTCCTCATGTCCACTTTTACTCGCCTCTCTCTACCCATGTCTCTAAATAATTACTCTTATGAATATAACGAATCAGTCATAAGTAAAGAGCAAGTAAAGTCGGACATAAGGACTTCCACAAACCGTGCTATCAACGAAATTACCTCAATACAGACAATGGATTACAAGTACGATTATTGTTAAAAAATTATATGAATCTTGAAACTTCTTTAAATTCTCTCATGAATCCGAAATGTCGGCATAAATAAAAGGATTGCAAAGAGAACGGATTATTTGGTAACCCTTGGTCAAAAATAATTTTAAAAATATACAAAAAATAGTTTTATCAATAACTACTTCATTTCTTGAACATCGAGAGTTTGAAGATATAAGCCACTCAAGCGAAGGAATATCTAAAACAGGATAGTTCTATTATTTCAAATTTTGTGATATTAAATATTTTTTAAATTACAACGCTTTCCTAGGCCTCATTTAGTGTTGCCCAAAATTGGTCTTGGTACACAAAGAACAAGACAGGTAAAAACAATAGATGTTTTAAAAGAAAAATTAAGGCAAAATAGTTACTAATGCTTGAATTTTTAGTTACTATATGTAAAGAATTGGTATTACCAATATAATTTTGCATTTACCTCATATAATTCATTCGGGCTTAGTTAGGTTTCACCTATCTAAAAAATTACAATAATATCTTTATAGTAATAAGCTAACAGGTAACAGCAAGACTACTGCGTGACTCTTGCATAAGACCAAGACCAAGGCTCGTCTTGGTCTCACATTTAGGCAACAGTTGTCTCTTTCCAATTTATGATTGATCTAAAAACAAGTTGACTAAATTATTATAATATTTTACAAATTTTATCTTCTCTCTTTATCTTGTAGTTCTTCTTTCTTTTAGACTATATGTGAGAATAATGATATAGATTGAAGCACGGGCGGATCTACGGGGATGGGACATTGGGGCTGAAGCCTCCCCCTCCAAAATGGTAAAATATAAACATGTTTTATGGAAAAAAATATCTCTTAAAGTTTTATTGTTCGTGTAATTACATTTAAAAGAACTTTAGGAATCACTTGAACGCCATTTCATATAGATAGTTGGTTTCTTTCTTTTTTCCCAAAGTAATTATCGTTATTTCTATGAAAAAAAAAGCTTTAGGGCTGAAGCTTCCCCCAAAATTAAATCCTGGATCCGCTAGTGGATTGAACCATCTGTTAGCAGGACCGTGGAGAGAAACCAATGGCACCAAATTTATCACTGAAAACCAACCGAGGCCTTTTACAAATTATGCAACAAAATATTATGTAAATATATTAAATAATTTTTATATTACATATGTGATATTATTATATTTCATTTTAATATAAATTAAGAGCTTAAAACAGCAAAACCTTGTAGGTCGGAACGAGTCATAGGGCTGACATTCATTTCCTTTCATCGTTGATTGTCCATATTTACTACCTTAAACTGACTTGGATTGAAATGTCGAAATGAAAAATAAATGTGACTAATTTCATAATGTTTCTAAAATAAAACAGCCTTTTCTTTTCTTTCGGTGCCTTTATGCCTACCATTAACTCATTATACCTGTACAAATAAACTCGCGAACAGAAAAATACAGGATATGTCAGTTGTTAATGGCCACATTTTGGGGGATAGTTTAAAACAAAAATTCCAAAAAAAAAGTTCATTGGCCCGATTCCGAGTGGAAAAGAAGTTTAGACCAATTTTGTGTTTTCTTAAAATGGTTCCAGGTTTTATTTAACAAAACAGAATTCCTCAAAAGCATTTCAAGATAATTAAATTCTAAGTAAAATACTGGAAAGTAGACATTTTTTTTTCTTTTTTTAGAAAATCGTTATTAAATTAACTAACATCAGTGTTCAAAGGGACTTTCAGAAGGTCTAATTCGGCCGCTGTATGGAGATAGGCTGCTCCTGTTTTGGGACTATAACTGCAGCAGTATAGCGGTTGTATTAGACCTCCTGAAAGTCCCTTTTAACACTGATGTTACTTAATTTAAAGTCCCTTAAATTATCCAACTTACTAAATTTAATCATTGTTTTCTCAAAAAAATGTTTTCTACTTTACGATGGTGTACTAAGCATTTAATTATCTTGAACCACTAGCGGATCTAGGATTTAATTTTGGAGGGGCTTCAGCCCGAAAGACTTTTTTTCAAATATATAACAATAATTAATTTGAAAAAAAAAGAAAGAAATTAACTACCCATGTTTAAGTGATTCTTAAAGTCCTATTAAATGTAATTACACGAACAATAATACTTTAAGAGATAGTTTTTAATATAATTTTTCTTTATAAGATGGTTATATTTTACCGTTTTGGGGGGGAGGGCTTCAGACTGAAAGCCTCTCCCCCCCCCGTAAATCCGCCTGTGTCTTGAACAGTTTTTGAGCGATTCCTTCTTATTGAATATAAACCGTGAATACCTTAAGAAAAACACAAAATCATGAGATAATAATAAAATGGTAAGATATTATAGAATAATAAAAGATAATAAGATATCATAGAAGAATATTTAATTTAAACTAGACAAAGTGATAATAGGCGAAATAAATCATATCGCACACTGTTAACGGAAAAGTTTGCTTGTAAAAATTTCCATGTTTATTCTATTTGTGCTAAAGGTGACATTTTGTAGTCCACAAGTGCAATAAGTAGTCTGCTACTATGGAAAATAGCAGAGGGAAATAAAATTTGAAATTATACCAATAAATCATAATGAAATAATCAGTTTTTATGCTCTTCTGTAAAAAAAAACAAAAACTAAATTTGTACATAGCAGCTTTTCACTAACAGTAGCCATATTACAATGTAATTCTTAGTATGTATATAAATTGATAGTTATTTTTATATGTAATAAGATATAAACATACATATAGAATTAAATTAGAATATACATTTTTAAATTTCAAAAGTATGTAGTTTTCAGGTTCATATAATATAATATAAATATAATTTTAAATCATTTATATGTAAAAATAAAATATAATATTGAAGCGGGATTCTACAGCTGAAACGAACCTGTTTTCTTCGTATCCTTCTACCTTCCAGATCTCATCGATCATAAGTTGATATTGTGAGTTGAGATTTTATGTCATGTTCCCATCAACGCCTCGAACTACCTATTTCATATTTACAATTCATCCATTCATAAACATTCCGCTCTTGGCTTTCGGTTATATAATAGAAAAATGGGAGCATTATAAAGATCATTATCATAATCTTAAGAACTTTGTGGTCAAAAAAGAAATTCAATAATGTCTCAAATAAACAAAATGCTTTTAATGCTTATACTATCAGAAATATCACTCTGATCGAGGGATAACTACTTTAAGTTTTTCATTTATTTTTTAACCGAATTTTCCATTATAATTTTTTTATTTGAAAATTAATACATTCTGCCGCATTGGAGGGCATTAATATTAGGGCTACATTAAACATTCACACAATATATACATACAAATGATAACTA